AAACTTTTTTTTTCTTATTCTCAATAAAAAAAAAGAAAAAAAAAGACTAATCCTCCCCCTCAGCAGTTAAGCCTAAAGCACTTCGCCAAGGGGTGGTAGCCCATGAAATTTCCCCTATCCATGTTGGCATATCAGCTTTTGTTAGAACTGTTTATGTCTTCTCTATGCATCCACACTGGTGAGTTTTCATGGGAGTCCCTGCCCTGGCTAGAAGGCACAGTCACACCGCAGATCTCCTTGTTTTCTTAGAGTTCTTCTTTCCCATTTTCTGTGATGTTGCCTGAGTCTCATATGCGGTTGCATTCATAGATGTGTCGGTTAGGGCTGGGCACCCCGTGGACAGCTATGTGGTCTGTGACTTTTGACGAGCGTGGCTTTAGTCAATGGTCTTCTGCTGCAGAAAGAAGCTTCTTGGAGGAGGGGTGAGCTCTACCCACATCCGCAGGTGTAAGAAGAAGCACTTAGTGTGGTGAGGAGCTATGATGGTTTAGGAAAGTGATAGTATAGGCTCTCTTCGAAGATTTATGAACTCACTAGCCATTTGTAATTGGCTGGGTTTACAGTACTAGACTTTGAGTCCACTGAAACAGAACTTGGTTACCGCCAAAATATAAGTGCTACTATTGCACAGTTAGAGATCGCCTGCTCTGCAGGTAATGGTTTGATTTCAAAGGCATCACAAATGGGTGGAGCATGATAGTCTTCCTCCCTTGGCAACTTGCATCCCACTTCCCGCCCTGTAAAATGTAGATCTCAGAGAAGAGGCTTTGGGCCTGTGGGCTTTTAAAAAAACTTATATTTATTTATAATTTATGTGAATGTATGTGAGTCAGCATGAGTTTGTGTTCACCATATGTATGTTAGTACTCACAAGGGCCAGAAGACACTGGATACCCTGGAAATGAAGCCACCACAGTGTGATGTTGGTGCTGAAAACCAAGCCTAGGTTCTCTGCAAAACAAAAGGGCTTTTAATCTCTGAGCCATCTCTTCAGCCCAGAGATGTGCTTTTTGTAAGACTTTTAAAAACAGCACAATGTTCTCCTTGAGTAGACAGTAGAGCAGTGGTGGATATGAGTGATGGTGGGTACTAAGGTCTGGCAACTCAAACAGAGAAAGGCTTCACCACACTATAAATGCTGCTGATAGCATTTAAGACACATAAATTCTACACTTACCTTATCTTTTCCTTCTCATCTCTCTTTTCTCCCTAAAATCTTTCTTACACATAAAATACCCTTGCAGAATTAAAGGGTAAAAAATGCAGTAACACACCAGGCATGTATTGTTCCACACGTGAAATAGCCCTCTTCATCCACAAAAGTCTCAATCCTCTATCCCCACAGAGCATAGCTTTATCAGAGAAGATTGCTTCTTCATTGAAACCTATAGAACTACTCCATTGTTTTATTACATCCCCAATACCACCCCGTTGTATTATGTTGCACACATCAGTCCGTTTCACTTAGCTCTATGTGCTACTTAAAGGCTTGGCTTATTCTGCTGTGTGACTAAAACACGTAAATTTCACTATGTTGTTAACATTAACTAATGAAAAATATCCTTGTTCTGTTGACCATGGTGTTAACAAAACCTTGTGGTCCTTGTCATCTCAGAGGTAACATCTAGTAGGTAATTCAACTAGTCAAAGAGACTTGGACACCATATTTTTGATGAAGTTAACTGTCATGATGATTGTGGTGGTGATATTAGCTAATCTTTACTGAATACTTTAATATGATTCTAAGTATTGAATGTATCTTATCAATTTTCTTAATTGGAGGTGAATGAATGCTTCCCCAAAAAGTAACTATGTGTGTGTATGTGAGTGTGTGTGTATGTGTGTGAGTGTTGTATGTATATGTGTGGGTGCAGATGTGTGTGTGTATATGTGTGTGTGTGTGTTGTTACAAGGAACGCATTTCTTACAGAAAATGAAGGTGAATTGATACATGCATATGGTGAATGCAGAGTTTTGTCCTGCACAGTGAGACAATGCACACCATGGAGCATAATTCTGGAAACAGTAACAAGAACTGAAACCAGATGAGACCTATCATGCTGCTATGGTAGACAGGGACCCTTAATCCAAGTTCAAGGACACCAGTCCTTAGTGCCAAGAAGCGTCATTGGAAATTGCCTGATTCCAGGAAGACCAGGTCCTTTGCGTGACACCATGATGTGGTCTCTGGAGACCATTAAGCCATTTCTACCCATCCCCAATGGCAAATGTACACAGAGATGCAACATATTCTCCCTCTGAGTTCTATTTTTAAAGTAAACAAAAATATGCAATAGAAGTATACATCCCCATACTTAATTTCCACAGAGTTGTAGTCTATAAATTAAATCTCCCATTTTCTTCTGACTGCATTAAATCTGGCCTGAAAGTGTGCCTTCCCTGGTCACATCCCGGCTGCAATCACGATGGGCGCTCTTGCTGTGGGTGGCTTACATAGTAAGTTTTGGGGAAGCACACAGTTTGCTGTCCCAGGTGACAACTGGTGACAAGTTGACTAGATCTGGGTCATAGCATTCTATTCTAGGGGCACTGGCAAACTGAAATGTACAGAACTTGGGTTGTAGACCATTCTGAAACTGTGACTTGTGGGATGGACCTTTAAGCCATCAATCTATCAGCTGATGTAAGCCTTCCATCCAGTGTAGTGACGTATATACAAACTGGTTCTTAGGTGCCAAATGTTGGGAGCAGTGAGACCCCAGATCCTGAATTTCTTGTAAGCAACTTGTTTTCCCCTGATCTGA